ATCGATGGGTTATTTGTCATTGGAGGACTCTATGGGAGGTGGGCATGATGTGAGCGTACATAGTCCATGGGATGTAGAGCAGGTTGAGCTGGGACACCAAGGAATCTCTTTTCCACCTGCTCTTAACTACCGTCGTGGAGGGGTGGAGGACATGAGCCCACTTGTAACCTTTTTTAACAGAGTACTGTCATATCGGGGTGGGGTTACGGCTGTTCCATTCCCATTCTTGCGGATCAAAAGGTAGGTCACCGATCAGGGTGGACATCTCATAGGAATAGTAACCTGTGTCTTTGGATCCCACGACTCTGATTCTGATCAATTCGAAATCTGGGACTGAGCAGTCCAAAAGTTGGTTTCTTTTCAAGGAGGTCCACCTTGCCCCCGACACGTCCGGTTTGTATGCGTGTCGCTTCACCCCTTCATGCGTGATGTGTGACACTCTGAAGATGGTCATGGGGATCGGGTTAGTTGAAGCCCGTATGACCCAATCAAGGGCGCACAACCCCGGACCTTTTTGCAAAGTAGTTACCCACGGGGGAGGGACAGTCGTTTGTAACTGTTGCAACTTGCCTTGGCTCCCTTTGATGTACTTTAGGATGTGACGCAACTGTTGGGTCGACTTCCATGATCTTGTATGGCAGTCCCATAAATCTTTAATAGTGAAGATTCCGTTCCGCACCCGTGTTAGCCAGTGAGAATTCGCAGTCAGGGAGAAAGGCTTCCCGTTGTTGTCACAGACGAACGGGTTCCCGAACATTAGTTGTCTCCATATTTTCTGCCACTTGAGCGGAGGGGACTTTTTGGCTGACCCCATGCTCCTCCACAGTTCCAGCATTGATGGTCACAGAGGGTCATTTTTTATGTCCCATCTTGTGTTATTTCTGCTTGTGTCGTCCATCTTATGGCGCGGGGGATTCGGAACAGACCAGTCCGTAATGGTTAGCCAACTGAGTGGATGAACTGGATGGTTAGGGTGAGACGGAGGGGCCAAGTGCGCTAGTTGTATGTGAGTTAGTGGCAGCCACTGTACGTCATTAGCTAACAGGAGGCATATGATCACTTTAAACATTAAGGCTATGAGATGTTTAAGGCTATGATCTCGTCCCCCGCGTCAAGGATGCCTAATCCTCCCACCTCCTCCCACCTTTTTTGGTTGTGTAACATATTTCCATGCGACTCTTCTAATACATCGGGTGAGCTCATGGTCGTTTCTCCAGAGGTACACTGCTAATGTTGCCCGTAGGTTTGTAAGTTTCTTCACCGGGATCTCCCAGAAAGTCGTCTTGTACCAAATAGTAGACAAGACTGCGTTGTTTATTATCAGAGCCCTGCACACGAGTGATGTGTGCAATCCGTCCCATTTGGCCATTCTTTGCAAGGCCGTTTGAACAAGGACTTGACCATGGTTGGCTGGGAGGGCCAGCGGTGTCAAACGAACGTCCAGGATCCTTATTGCCTCCTCCCTTTGTTGCCAACTGACCGGGGGGTCTTGCGGGGGTTGGGAGTCTTGTGGGGACAACCACCAGCCCTCTGCCTTTGTCCCCCAGTTAACCCTCATGTCTGCCGCTACTTCAAAAAGTTGAATTATGTCAGTGAGCGCCTTTAGTGAGGTCGAGGAGACCCTGATGAAACCCACGAGGTCGTCAGCAAATAGTGACATCACCGGTACGAGGTGCCAAGGCAGTTCGGGAATATCAATACGCTCTATATCCGGGTTGGATCAGATCATTGCACCCAAGGCTTCCATCACTAATTCAAACAAGAGAGGAGCTATCGGGTCACCTTGTCTCACCGACCTCTGGAGGACAAAAGGGGAAGATAGGTGTTCGTTGACCATAATGTTTGTTTCTGCGGACCTGTGCACGGTGGACACCCACGCCCGGAAGGAGTCTCCGAAGTTCATTTTCTGCAGACATTAATCGATGAAGTGTCAGTCGACATGGTCATAAGCTTTCCTGAAATCTATGAACAAAATGGCTGCTTCCTTCTCGTGTTGCCTAGCGTATTTAATTGTTTCATTCACCAACAGCATATTGTCCTGAATATTTCTTTGTGGCACGAATCCAGTCTGATCCTGGCAGATCATATGATACATATACGGACGATTATTTGGATACAATTTTGTACGGCAGGGGAAGGAGCGTGATAGGCCTATAATTTTTGACATCCTTCTTGTCCCTTTTTTTGTACAGTAATGTAGTGACCCCTCGGCTAATCATGTCTCCAAAGGTCCTTTCTGTCCAAACTGTTTGTACATATGTTGTGAGGTAGTCTTGGAAGACTGTCCAGTTTTGTAACCAGAATTCCTTTGGAAATGAGTCAATACCAGGGGTCTTCTCGTCTTCCATTCCCTTTAGGGCATTTAGTAATTCATCCGCTGACAAAGGTGTTTCCAACGATTCCTGTTGGGATGTTGAGAGCATCGCTGGGAGATGCTGAAGCATCTTTTGTCTTACATGTGTCAGGCGGTCAGCGCCCCATTGTCCTGATTCTGAAGCGTATAGTCTTTTATAATATCGGGCGACATAGTCTACTATAGTACTATGGCATATGCATTATTTGCCTCTAGTAGGGATGGGTCGAAGGGATGGCGGAGTGACGACACCGTTGCTTGTCTAGCTCTTACCCTAGACTTCCTAAAAAAGGTTTTTGCCATTGTCCCTTCCGTGTCCTGTTTTCGTATGCGTGCCTGCACCCGCCAGACTTCAGCCTGTTCATCCAGATAACTTTGCAAATGCTCCCTTGCGGTCTGCAGCTTATGGTGCATTGTATCATCTAAGGGATGTGACTGCAGTTTGCTGTCCTAGGCTTCCATTTCTTTTAAGAGGCTATCCATCACCTGTTTGCGGATGCGCGCATGATTTATGGAGAATTTCCGCACTCGGTCTCTCAGTTTTGCCAACCCCTCGTTAAACCATGCGACCACTGAGTGGGCTAACTCCAACTGCGTTTTCCAGTATTGCCAAAATTCCTGAACCAGGGTTTTCAAGGCTGATAGTTTAAGGAGCGATGCATTGAATTTATAAAAGTTTGGTCCTTTTACGATTGGTGAGTGGAAGGAGAGACCCAGTGCTATTCCCCGGTGGTCAAAAGACTTCCATGCTTTGAATGGCATAATTTCGGCCACTGTCAATGCCCCTAGTATCAGTTCCTCGGAGACGAGGCACAAATCTATCCTCGAATTAGACCGGCCCGCCGCCCCTTTAGACCGGACGTAAGTGTACGCCCTTTTGGAAGTTTTGGTAGGGTGCAAACCGTGCAGTATTCGGTAAGAGTCCTTCAGTTGCAGGGTGGCCATGAAAGTAGCCAACATATCTATATTTAGGGCCCACCTGTCCTGAGACTGGCTCTGGCCATGTGGGTGGATGACCTCCTGTCCAACAATAGATCAGGTGTTATGTTAAAGTCACCTGCAATGATGATGGGGTGGCCTACAGGGATCTCTTGGTAGAGCTGATGTAAAAAGTCCGCTCTTTCTAGTGGGTCATTTGGACATACACACTTACTCTAAGAACCAGATCGTCACCCAGCATGCTTTCACATACACCCACCACCCCTTTTGATGATCGCACTCATGCGTCAGCGGGATCAATCGTGATGATGGCGTAATCAAAATCGCCACCCCTGCGGAGGTCACAGATTGTGCCGACGTCGTAGGGCCATATCCACTTCTCTTTGGCTTTGTGGGCATGCGTGTGGGTATGTTGAGTCTCCTGTATGCAGATTGCATCTGGCCATATGTCCTACCCCTCCGTTTTCAGCATTCTCCAGATGGCATCTTTCTTTTCCGCGGAGGCCTGAGCCGATCCGTTTCAGGTTGAGTGCTCTGATGTCCAAGTCCGCCTGAAGTAAGTGTTTTTTTTTTTTTTCCTTCTTTTTTTTTACAACAACACCCCCTGCAGTGCTAGTGCTACTGGTAAGAGCAGGCAGCATTGGCACCAAGGGAGAGGCTCCATCTATTGATGGGGAGCATCACCTGCAGGAAAACGGGTCCAGCGTCCCTTATACACAAAACGGGCCCTGCTGGAAAGAACTGAGGAAGACACCTGCCAGCATTGATTACTCTGTCCTCCAGAGGATTGACTGTGGAGGTTGTTGGGAACAGGAAAAACCTCTTCGCCCTGTATCAGGCGCCAAATACCTGTTGTTGAAAGACTAGTTCCTCCCTCTCCCAAAAGACTTTACCACCCCATCCCCCACTATCAATCCCTCTGTTCCACTCGATGTCAGCTGTCACAGGCTTTTTTTCACTCAGAATCCTACCCTAATTTTTACATATCATTGCTAAAACATCCACCATTTTTACCAAAAACTATCCTCTGGTCCTCCTGGTGCAATCCGCCTCTGCTCTGCTTCTATTTTCCAAAAACCCTGTCTTTTTCCATTCTAGGCTCCTTAGCCCGTAGCCCCCCCATACCATTCCATTTCAACCAGAGCTAAGGGAGGGGGTGGGAAGAGATTCAGAAAGTCTGAGAGGGGCAGGAGTGGGATAGAGGGGTCAATCTGGGTCCAATCCTGAAAGCATAGGTGGTAGTCCCTTTCCCCTTCCTAAACGTCTTCCCCCCCTTTCTCCCCGCCCTTCCATATGACCTTAGCGATCCAAACCCCCTATCCCCCACCCAGCCAGTCTTTACAGAACCTCTCGATGAGTTGTCTAATTTCTCGTTTAGAGTGTAGGTATGTGATTTTTTCTTTGAATCTTTCCCATTGAATGGAGATGTCCTCCTGTATTTTTCCTTAATTGAGTTGATGGACTCAGTTCCATCCCGGCACACCCCTTCCATTTCGAGTGTGCATCGTCTCCACCAGATGGCCCAGATAACCGCCCTGCGGCCTATTTTAAACATATTTTCTTCAAAAGGGGTGGCTTGATCTGGAGCCCACGCCTCACAGAGGAGCGCTCTCCAGTCCCATGCCCAAGGTTGTGAGGACCTGGTGCCCAATTGTCTCCATATTCTGACTCTCTTCTTGGTGGTTTCTTTAATTTTGTTGGCTTCCAGTCGGGCAGTGTGGAGTCCCGGATGCACAATGCAGTGCATGTCGCTGTGGGCCGGGAAAGCGATGGTCGAGATATGGGCCTTTTTGAGACGGCGGCATTGGACCCGATCTTCTACAACCATCATGCAAACGTTGATCGATTATGGACCGTATGGCTACGCCTGGAACCGACACCACTGGGACCTCGAAGAAATCCTACAAGCCCCGACTTCTTGGACTCAACCTTCACCTTCTACGATGAGAATGCCCAGCCCAAAAACATCAGAGTGAGGGATGTCTTGGACTATGAAAGGAACCTTCGGTACCGGTACGAAGAGATCAGTCATGATTGGCTCAATCCTGGTGAATTGCTACCCCCTCCTGAAAGGACTCAGAGGGGTTTCGAGGAGGGTGCTTTTTATGACACTTACCCTCAAGCGCCTCAACAATCCCCTCAATATCCTCGTTTCGAGGGTGCTTTTTATGACCCTTACCCTCAAGGGCCTCAACAATCCCCTCAATATCCTCCTCCTCCGCCTCCTCCTCTTCTTCCTTTTCCTCCTTCTCCTTCTTCTCCTACTCTTCCTTTCCCTCCTTCTCTTCCTCCTACTCTTCCTCCTCCTCCTTCTACTTCTTCTCCTCCTCTTTCTACTTCTCCTCCAGGACTAATGATAACTCCAGATATTGCCTGGAATGGTCTATCCATTTTGCCTATCACAATCCCAGAAACTGTTCTCTCTTCGATGAACACGTTACCGCCGACAATTGGCGGAAATGCTGCTGTCAGTGGTCGAGGAAGCACTATGGGACCTTTCTTAACTCTACAAAGATGCTCTTACGATGGGCGGCTGCCGATGACAATGCACTTGTTCTTGAACCAAAATGACTCAGCGACGATAGGCAATTGGCAGTACATCACATCAATACACAACGTTTATAACCGCCCTGCGAATACGACGGTGACCTACAATGTGGGGCTAAGGAGTGCCATGGCGAATGCTGGGCTTGATGGCAGAAGGAGTTTCACCATTCTGTTTGTCCAAGGAACGTTTCCCCGGCCCGTGACTTTCTCTGCCGGGATGCAGCAAATGGTGTGATGAGCAGTTGAGCATACTATCATGGTGGCATTTTTTCTCTGTACCCTTCAAGATATAGGCCTGTTTTAGGGGTTGCTCATGTGCTTAGAAAAATTTTGATTTCGCCCTGATTAAGGGGGGGCAAGGGGGGAAAGGGGGAAGGGGGGGTGGGGGACGTTTACGAGGCAGAGCACACCACAGGAGTCGGAGAAAAAGTTTGAATTCGCCGTGATGAGGGATGGCATTGCGGGGAGAAGAGGGGAGGGGGGAGGGGGAGGTTTATGAGGCCGGACGCATCACAGGAGTCAGGTGCGGTGGTAGAGGGGTAGGGGTTGGATTACTGTGGTCGTCACCTGAAAAGAATATGCCTCAGGCTGGTCATCATGGCCCCCGCATCCACAGTGAAAGTTGCCCCAAATAGAGCTATCATGATGACCCCGCGTTCTATTCGGGTGAAGACCGTATCATGGTGGACATGCAACTTCAAGGCGACATGTTTAGCTGCGGGGGGCATGCTTGGTCTTTTTTTTTTTTTTTTTTTTTTTTTTTTTTTTTTTTTTTTGAATGCTTGGTCATTTAGTTATCTTTCCCCCAGGCTGCCCAGGTTTGTAGATGATACTGCTTGTCAATGAAATGCTTTTGCTTTGTCAAAGTTGATGCTTTTTTTTTTTTCTTTTTTTTTTTCTTTTTTTCTTTTTGAGAACTCCATGTGTGGGGTGTGTGGTTAGAGCAGCCCCTCTAAGCATGCCCCACCTTTGAAGGCTCCATCTATTGGTGTGGAGCTACACCTGCAGCTGGAAATCGGGTCCAGTGTCTCTGCACAGAAGAAAAAAAAAAAATTGACTGACGTATGACATTTCATGATACATGGCCGCTGTTCATCCGCTTCTTCTTTGAGCGTCGTCCGACAGACTGAGTGCAACCATCATTAAGTTCACGGTGGATTGTGTGCGTGTATCGATTATTAATAGGCATTTACTGGATGAATCTGACTGCAATTACAGCCAATGTGGCATGTTTATGACCGCGATTATGTCCAGAGATCCGTTTGAGGGCTGTTGTGATGGATCATAGTCCGCGAGGAGACGTGACGGAGGGTGTGCGCCGTGCGTGGTGAAGCAGAAGGCGGTCTTGCCAGCTATGGCTTCCCGGCCTGCGAGAGGGGGAGATGGACGAGAAGTAGAAAGACGAGGAGAAGGATTAGGAGGAGGAGGAGGAGGGAGAGTAGGAGGAAGAGAAGCAGTAGGAGGAAGAGAAGTTGTAGGAGGACCAGAGATCCGTTTGAGGGCTGTTGTGATGGATCATAGTCCGCGAGGAGACGTGAGGGAGGGTGTGCGCCGTGCGTGGTGCAGCAGAAGGCGGTCTTGCCAGCTATGGCTTCCCGGCCTGCGAGAGGAGGACGTGGACGAGAAGTAGAAAGACGAGGAGGAGGAGGGAGAGTCGGAGGAAGAGAAGTAGTACTAGGACGAAGAGTAGGAGGGTGGATCCTGGTGTTTACCGAAGTACTACGTGAAACTTGTGAAAATCAATCCTTTCAGTGCTTTCACAATGATCATGAGAAATTAATATGCGAAAGCAGAAAGCAAAGCAGTCAATGCTTGCTCCCTTTCCACCACCGGCATAGAGGTTTTGTACGAGGACCTTTCAAAAAAAAAAAAAAAAAAAAAAAAATCCGCTAAGTTACGAGGTTTATAAACTTTATATCATCCATGACATTGTGGTGGACACAACGATGCTGGATTCCGAGTCCGAGATGCATTTAAATTTTGAAGTATAAACGCATTTTTATGTTATAATTTTTTATTTTTTTTTTGCTTTGAATTCATGAAAATCGTTCTTGGTGAGCGAGTCCATCGAGTGATTACCAAATTGAATGTGATTCCCAATTTCACGTTGGAATTGGTCGGACTCCGTCGGAGTCTTTTTGACAGCACTTTACTTCTCGTAAATTCGTAAATCGGGTTTTTCATTTCCTTTGCGGCCTCTGTTG